TAAGGATATGGCCAGTAGGATGTGCTGCAGGAGCTGGGAGGCTGTGGGAAGGTTTCACGGTGCTACGGTAATATTAATACAGCATTATGAGGAATCCCCAAATGGCTGATTAACTGTCAAATTGTGATGCTGTGCCCGTGCGTGATGGTATCTGGGAAAAATGCAGCAAGGCAAACTAATTAAAATACTAACCTGGAGTTTCTCTACATGTCTGCTTTTTTTATCCCCTCTTCTTTTTCTCCGTGTTTTTCTCCTCCTTTTCATTTCCTTCCTTGCCCTTCATTTTCCTTCTTAATTATTTATAAAACTCCCTTTTATCATTTTCTTCCCATCTAGCTTTCATTTCTCCTTTTCTCCCAGCCCCTCTGTGCCCCATATTGCGTTTCCCTTTCTGTTAATCAGTCCTTCCCCAGATCCTGACACCTCTTGGGAACCGTGGTTCAAGGACTTTAAGGCCGATTTTACAGTTTTTCTTCTCTTGTTCTTTTCTTATCTGCTTTGCAGAAGTAGGGACTGTTTAGTCTGACTGGCAGAGTGCTCTTGTTGTGGCTGCTGCTGCTGTTGGGAGAGCAAACTTGCTGAAGGTCCCTGAAGGGACCCTACCAAGGTCCACCTGAGTATTTTCAGTGCTTCACACACAGATTAGGTGCTGCACAGAAAGGCTATTTCGATGCAGTCGCAGTGTAGTGTTTGTGTATAAGGTGGAAATGATGATGGTGCAGGGGGGGCAAAGAGGGAGCAGAATTAAGCAGACTTTCCAAATGTATGGTCACAAAAATGCTCATCCAACTGACGGGAAGAAAGCACCGCTGTCTCTTTCATAGGTATTAGAAACTGTGTGTTCCAGGAGTTGTTGGTTTGGATTTTCAGCTATGGTAGGACAGCTGTTATGTCATTTGCTGTCATTAATTGCTGCAAGACTTAAGCTAATCTCATTTCTGAAGAAGCCCAGCTCAGCTGGGAAGCTCCGGTTTTGTCCCTCTGGCCGGCCAGCAGCAGGGAGGGCTCAGTGCTGCCAGGATGCATCTCTGAGCCAGCCCCGTTTTTCCTGTGCTACTACCAGCACTTCCATGGCATGGCCCATGTGCACGGGGCCCTGGAGGGGCCAGAGGGGCCTTGACAGAGGGAAAGAATAGGCATTTTTTAAAATCATTACATCCAGGAGGTCTCTGATGACATGTCCTTCTAGAAGACTCTCCCTGTCAAAACCAAACTTACTACCAATTCAGTTTATTCTCTCCCATTAGGTTGAAAAACAGAGCAGCTGGGTTGAATTGACATCACTGGGTATTACCCAAATAATGAAATTATTTAGAATTAGAAAGCCTATTCTCCTCCCAAATAATTTCTTTTTAAATTCAAAGCTAAATTTAAGGCATTCTTAACACAGCAGAATCCACCATGCTGTAGCTAGAGGATGAGCTCCTGCTCTGGATGAGGGATCCTGAGCCCCCTCCACCAGTTGCCGGTGGTTCCCCATGGGGAGCGATGCTGCGGGGCGTCAGAGCTCCCTGAAGCGTGGGGTACAACCTGCATGAGGCTCACATGCCGCACAAACCGCCAGAGGCTTCACAGCGTTCAGGAAGTTAATAAACACTTACGAACTCAGAAGTTTTTAATGGCGCTTAAACTCAAATTTATTTTCACTTTCAATCAAGTTGCGTCAAATTTAGCTAAAGATTAGGTGACAGGCAGTCAGGCTGAACTGCTGCGCTGTACCTCTTCGTTTTGCTTTCCTGCCAGCCCCGGATGAATAGATTTACTTTTTTTTTTCAATTTGCATAAAGGTAGGGGAGAGTGTGCTCAAAAGAAAATATCTGCATTCCCCAAAGCCTTTGTTATGCAAGTAAGCAAACACCGACAATGTAAAATGCCATTGTGTGACATTTGCAGCACTAAATATCTAATTTTGTGTTGGGCAGAAAATGTTATTTTCCTGATGCATAGCTTGATTTCTACATTATTTTCTGGCTTTCCCTGTGACTAGGAAGAGGATGTTGGGGGTGATAGAGAAACTAGAAAGTCTTTGAGGTTCAAACTGGCATGTATAAATCATATGTTTGAACCTCAGTCAGCCCCTCAGAAACGATTTTCCCCCAGGCTAGATAGGTGGGCATCCATATTTGCTTTTTGATTTCGTTTTCCTTTCTTGCTTCTGCAATGCGGGTCATAACCAGATTCCCAGGATTCTCTGAACATTTTTGCTTAGTAGACTTAGTGGCTGTGCCCTCAAACATCTCTCTGCTCTCTTCCTCTGGCACGCTGTATTTTGTACAGTTTTCAGTCTGTTGTACTAAAAGCATTAAATGGAGTGTTGACAAGAATTTTGTGGTTTATGGCTTGGCAAGTGTAGGAGATGGGCATTCATTGGACTACTCTAGGGAGAAATGTCCATAGTGTGAGTGCTGGTGGTTGCTGGGGACCGACCTGACTGGTCTCGTCCTCCAGCCTCCTCCACAAAGGGTTACTTTCTTATAAGAACCTTCTCAAAAATTTATCTTAACAGTGCCTTGCAGAGTCGGACTTTTAAATTTCTTGGGGGTACCATTTTAAAACAAAAGATGCTATGTCTTTCTTATATCCAGGTGGGATTTAATTGTAGCCCCTGTTACATGTTTTTTTTGCTCCTGTTCCAGAGGATAGACTGTTGTACAGATGACTCTTTTTTTTTTTTGCCTTAGTTTGAAAGGGTGTCTCACTATGTGCTTTCTCTTGCTGGGTGCTTTCATATGCACCGTCTTTCTTTTCCTGGTAATTAAGTGTTTCAAGCTGGTAGCATCTTCCAGACTGTCCCTCTGCCTAAGTGAGCTACCCTGAGTGTAAGCCTAGAGTTAAACAGAAACAGCTCTGTTCTCTTCACTCCTGTGATCTTACATCAATTCACCAGTTATTATTTCCTCTTGTCAAATGAAGCAATAGCAAAGCTTTGAAATGATGTTGCGGCTTTTCCAAAGAACAATTTCCCTCTCCTTTTCTCGCCTCCTTCTGCCTTTCCCTGTATATTTGATAGCACATCAGCTTCCTCTTGAAATGATTCCCAGTAGAGCACTTCAGCTATTTCAACCGAAGGTATTTTTAAAAAACTAGCTTCTACAGCAGAGTTTGCTTATAATGAAGAAAAATAAAAAAAAATCCTTCTGCCTTGGACAGCCAGTCTTGTACGCGCTAATGCATGTGGTGAACTCTGTGCCTGGAATATTCCCACTGGATTCAGTCAGTGGTATTGTTTGCCCACGCAGAGTTAAGCACCTGTGTAAGTGCTTGTAAGGTGATGGCTTTAAATCTTATTAGCAGCTAAAAAGAGATGCACTGCAGTGCAGTAGAGACTAAACCAAGGCAACTCATTTTCATTGTCTTTTTTTTTTTAATTATTATTATTATCTGTTTTTCTAAAGTGGCTGTTATTTAGCGACAAATATAATGAAAAGAACAGGGATGATCTTCCAAAGAATTTCTTCACCCCACTCCAATACTTGTCAACATTTTGATCTACGCAGGATATTCAGGAAACTTGCATTCTGGGCAATTTCCCATTGACGCTGAGTGAATATCTGATATGATAGAAGGCACTGAGGGCTACAGGGTTTAATCCTAGCGCTGTTTTTCATATTAATAAATGACATAACCAGAGCACCTCCAGAGTTAGTCTCTTGCTGCTCCTGCAGAATCAAATTTGGGCTTAATCTGCTCCAGTGTTTCTCTTTGATGTAACTGCCTAGGAAATCACAGAACAATAGTCTTTTGAGTTGACAGGATTTTAAATGTTTATGGGTTTGAAAATAAAGACCAGATAAGGACCGTATCAGGAGGCAGATTAATGGCCAGCCTGCAGTGCAGAGATCTTGGGTGGGGTGCTGTCATGGGGTGCCTTTGGCTCGGAGGAGAAGTTATTAGAATCATAGAATTCATAGAATTGTCTAGGTTGGAAGAGACCCTTGGGATCATCGAGTCCAACCATCTACCCTACTCTACAAAGTTCTCCTCTACACCATATCCCTCAACACCACATCTAAACATCTCTTAAACACATCCAGGGATGGTGACTCAACCACCTCCCTGGGCAGCCTATTCCAGTGACCAACCACTCTTTCTGTGAAAAATTCTTTCCTAATGTTCAGTCCTAATGTTCAGCTATAAGATGTTCTATTCTGCATGGAGTTGTTTGCAGCATGTAAGAGGAGCAGGAGCAGCTTGTCTTGGTGGCCCAAATCTTCACATAAATCAGTGGAAATCCTGGCATGGACAGAATATGTTCAATGAAGTCCACAAGTTTTACAGCCCTTCTGTACAAGGCTTCATGGTGAACTGAACAATGACTTAGGATGCAATAGGCTATTCACAATATCACAGGGTTTTCCTGGGGGCATTGCTAATACCAGTGCACCATGCCAATCCAGAACAGCTGGGAAAAAAAAAGGATGCTTGGAAAGCTGGAAAAAGCGGCATCAATGAATTGTGCAATGGAGTCTGTAAGCATGAATCTTTCTGGGTGCTGAATGAAGAGGAGAAATGGCGCCTCTCGGAGCTTTTGTTTCAGGCTCTAAGCAGCTTTTGGCATTCATCATCATTTTCAGTTGCTGTGTTTTAAGATGTGTCTGTAAACAAAGGACTTATTTAGAAAATACTTTTTTCACGAGTAGACTGCAAAAGGGTAGAAGACTCAAGGAAGCAAAAGTTAACAGCTTCCAAAGTATAACAATATAAACAAGTTAATAAACATTGAGTGGTAGGTCATAATATTCCTTTCAGATTTATGTAAGAAAACAATATACTATATAAAATCATAAAATAGATGATCTTTCTTCCTTTAAAAGCCTCAGCAATTTCTCTTTAATGGCAACATAATATTTGGAAATACTATTTCCTAAATAAACAATGTCATACTGCTTAACTTAAGGAAATGTACTTCGGTAACAGGAGTTTCAGCACTTGTTTTTCGCCCTTCCCTTTCTCTAGGATGGTTGCACTGCCTTCGGTGAGTCAGCTTAGCCTTGGTTGTGATGGAGAAGGAGGCAAGCCAACTCGAGAGGGACCACATTCATAACGTATATGAGAAATTTGCTCCTTCCTTCAATGATGTGCACTACAAGACGTGGCCAAAGGTGCAGCAGTTCATTTCAGAGCAGGAACCAGGCAGCCTGATTGCTGATATTTGTGACTGGGATTGTATATCCCATTGCTAATGACAGTTTAAGTATGTTCTCTCTATCAAGCAATATTTGTGGCATAAGAGTTTGGGATCAAACTTGGGAATCAAAATGGCCAGGCTGACTATCAAATTTGCCTCCTACTTTGCTTCACTCATAGGTATATGAAGAAATTTGACTTTTCCCAGTATCCAGTAGGTCAACTAAACTGAAGCACTAAAATGAAGCTGAATATATTAAGATGTCATTAGTGGATATAATGTTGTGTATTGGTATGATAATTCTGGAATTTGAAATTTTGTTTAGCTCTTACAACATGTATTGTGTGTGGCCAATTTGAAACAAGTATCATGACACTGTTCTGAGTGCTTTGGGGAACAATGTGTGACAGCTTTTAATTCCCCAAAGGTTTGAAAATGCCTAAATGGTAGGAGGGAAGCCTCTGTACTGGCTTCAGCCCCTGCACCAGAAATGGATACGTGCTGGTTGCCTGATTGAGATCTGGGCATTAATTCGTCATTTCTACACATTTAGGCTAGACTTCTGAATAGCTTTTTGGACTTGTAATCCTTTCCAGCAACACATATGTGTAGTCTCCCCACTGTAGCATGGGAACTGCTGTGAAAGGGAAAAATTACTGAGGGTTGGGCTAATCACACAATCTTTTTGGGTGTCATTCAATCTTTACCATATACTTTTCCCAGTTTATCACAGTCTAAACGCTGGGAACTATATTCCTACCATATCTTGGCAGATTTTGCAATGTTTTCAATGTGAACAAATAAAACAGGTACAAAGAACCAGTTCATTGAATTTTTACTGATGTCACAGACTTTGGACTTGATTAATGCAGTAATTTAAGCTCGGACTTGGCTCCTGGGCTTTGGCCTGCGGAGGCTGCTGGCATGTTCTTGTGGTGTCTGTGGCCAGAGATGAGTTTCATGTGAAACACAGTTGCCAAGAGCGGTGCCACAGCCCTGGAGAGGAGTCTACTTCCAGGGCTCTCCTCTGCACCTCCATCCCTGGGAAAGAGCCTATGGGGTCGGATTAGAGGAAATGTTTTTAGTAGCTGTTGTTTGGCTTATACTGGAGCCTTTCCCTCCAAAAGTGAAAACCAGAAAGAGTCCTGGAGTTCCCTTCCAGTCAGAGCTCCAGGGTAGTCCTCTTTCTGCTCATTCTTCTTGGAAAATAGAGTCCAATATTAGCCAAGTGCTGGCACCATTGCACAGCACCTCGTCTCAGCTGGTGCTGAGGTCAGGCATGGGAAGGACGGAGAGTGCTCCACCTTTTCTCTGGATATCTTTCTTTCCTTCCCAGGAGAAGAGGTCAGCAGTTAATATTAGACAAGTAGTTAGAAGCAGACTTCTATCTGCAGCTCAGTGATGATTCATCTCCCATTCAAACGGCACAACCGACTGATGGGGCTGGGAGGCTCCTTACTGAACATAGGGTTTCAGAACACATACTATGGGATGGCTGTAACCTAAATATAGGGACTTAAATATTTCAAAGACTCAAAAATAACTTTTTTTTTTAAATGAATTAGAGATAAAATCTGGGCTCTGACCCAAGCTTAGTGTTTGATGTAAGTGTAGCCATAAACAGGATACAAACTAAGGTCTGCACAAGGTACAGGGTATTATGTTAGTCCAATGCATTTACCTCCCTGATTTTAATTTGAACTGTGATTTTTATGATGCAAGTGAGAAGGCAAGTTTTCAAAATCAATAATCTACTTTAAAATGCACTTTGTGTTAAGATCCAGATAATTCTGCAAACAAATTATCAAAAATTTAGATAAGATCCGTTTTACTGCTCACATTAAAATCGTTCTTATGTAAAGATGTCTGCCTTCATTTAAACACCAGAAGTATTTCAATTTGGGAAGATGTAAATTTCCCTGTCGCAGGCTCCATTATGAAAAGGAAACTGCATGGAGATACCAGAAAAAGAAACTCCACTGTTGTCATGGTGACAGCAATTAGCAGCAGTTAAAACAGCAAACAATGGATTTAATGGTTTGGTCTAATAGTGACTTAATTACTTAGCAGTCTAGTTTGTCTATCAGCATTTCAATACACAGGAATAATTCAGTGCTGTGCTCCCACTACATGATGCTTTCACTTAGCGTTTTGAGTCTATTACAAGTAGAATTGCAGTAACATCATTACCATAAATATTTTTGATTCTATATGCGGTGGGAAAGCCAAGGTAAATGCTCTCTAGCAATCCTACTTGAACACCTCCTGTCACGCAGCAGCGAGCCCGCTAGACAGAAAGGAGCAGTCTGTGCTCATTGTACTGTGATGGTAAAAAATAACCTGAATTCCACTGCAATTGTATCATCTCCCTTAAAATGGGTGGAGAATTTCAAGCTATTAGGCCAGTCAAGGGCATATATCATGGCTTATGTCAGGAATACATTTTCTCTTGTACAGACACCAAATGTCCGCCTTTCTTTCTTCTCCTTGTTATTTCTTCAGGCTACGGAAATGGCAAATACCTTCACATAAATTGTCAAGTCTATAAACTGGTTGCAACTGCTGTTTCCCATTGGTGGAATCAGCACGAAATGAAGGCCATGAAGTAATGGTATGCCATAGCCTCTGTCTGCCTTATCAAAGTGAGCGCTTTGATGCTGTCCTGTCCATTGCTGGTAAGTTCTGCGTGCTGCCAGTGCCCATAGGTCAGACCTTTAAAGGGTCTAAAGCATTTAGCCCCTTCTAGGCTTGGGGCTTTTTTCAGTGACCAGCAGAATACTTTGGGTTTTGTAGATGAGGTAAATCTATACTAACACAAGAAATGTGTATTATTATATATATGTGTATATATATTATACACACATTTGGTATATATGTATATTAATATAATCTATTATTGTACATATATATACACACCTATTATATATATGTATATTATTATATATAAACTCAGTGAAAAACTGCAAAATGGGTAAGTCACACAGTGAACTGTTTTATTTTGGTCCAAGAACAACTAAAGTACAATGTGCAAAACAGGAAAGGAAAGCCTTATTTTTGCCTTATTACATGGCAGGAATTTAAAATGTTGGCTCTATCAGGAGAAAAATACAACAAACCTTGCTTAGGAAGACTGGGCATATTCAAAGCTCAGTATTAAATCCTTCTGCGCCTCTTCAAATGCTGTTCTTTACTCCCATGCTCCACGGTTTGTTGGCCAACACAGTAATTTTTTGGCTGATGAGGATGACCATGACACTGATCCGGCTGAAAAGTAACCACCAAAAAGAAAGGTTGTTTTTATCCAAATCAGTTACCCATTGCTTCACACAGAGAGGCCTGTTTCAGCAAGAGCAGGGGATAATGCAAAGAAAGAACAAGGAGCTGATGACAAAGCAAGCAGAAGTTCTTGGTTCAGTGGCACTGCTGCCTTAAAGTGTTCATCAAATAACCTCAGATTTCATTTGTCCTAAGATTTTTGCTTATTGTTTAGTTGCCCTTTGCAGTGTAACTTAATGATGGAGGAACTGCCTGTCTTTGCCACTTTTAAAGCAGACATTCAATGGTAGCTTTAGCCTTTACTTTTTTCTTTTGTAAGTTTTCCATGTTCTTTTGTTTTGGGGGCCTTGAAATTACTCGACGACCTTTTAAAAGTTAGGTATTAAGCTTGTACTGATTAAAAGTTGGACAATACTGCAAACAAAACAAATTACAGTGCTCAGCAAAGTTGATATTCCTTTTCTCAACAAAAGGGGTGTGAAGGGCTCTAAGTCGTTAAATCAAAGTGAAATGTTAATATCTCACATCTCTTGAAGTTGGTGAGTAGCCTTACACAGCATCTTCTCCGTGTCTTGTGTGGCCTTTCTTTAATCCCTGAAGGATGTTACTTTTCAAGTCAAGGGCCACGTCATATAAATTGACATTTGATGGAAATTTGAGATTGCATTACTGTTACTGGTACCTCATCATCATGATGATGATCTGAGGGCTGGAGCGATGATCCGAGGGCTGGAGCACCTCTCCTATGAGGAGAGGCTGAGAGAGCTGGGGCTGTTCAGCCTGGAGAAGAGAAGGCTCCGGGGAGATCTTATTGCGGCCTTCCCGTACCTAAAGGGGACCTACAGGAGAGCTGGGGAAGGACTTTTTACTAGGGCTTGTAGTGAGAGGACGAGGAGGAATGGCTATAAACTGGAAGAGGGCAGGTTTAGATTAAACATTAGGAAGAAGTTTCTCACTTTAAGGGTGGTAAGGTCTTGGAACAGGTTGCCCAGAGAAGTTGTTGAGGCCCCATCCCTGGAGGTGTTCAAGGCCAGGCTGGACATGGCCTTGGGCAACCTGGTCTAGTGGGAGGTGTCCCTGCCTATGGCAGGGACGTTGGAACTCGATGATCTTCAAGGTCCTTTCCAACCTAAGCCATTCTATGATTCTATGATTCTACTATTGTACGGGGCTGTGGACCGTGCTCAGCTACACTGTCTGAAAATATTTCAGTCATGATTTAAGAAACATGACCAATAGCTAACGGTCCTTGTTATTGGGTTTCTACATCCTTTGCCCATATAGGGTAACAACCATCGTGTGCCCAAAGGCGATTTGGCATTCTCTGGAAATCCAGGGTAAGGAAGCGAAGGACAAGCCGGATTTATTGAAAAGGGTATGTAGCAATGTTCAGAAGTTGTCTGACTCAAACGAGTTTGTGCCCCAGGAGTACTTCTGTAGAACAGTCTATAGAAATCAGTGTAGCTGAGCTGGGGTTGCTGCTGGAGATGCAGAACTACAGACCTTCCACACACCTTCCCATCCACAGCAAGCTTAAATCCCCATTTGCACGGCTGCTGTGTGAGAAGTTAGAATCGGTGAGGAATCCAGGAGGACACCGGACAACAGGTAGAACTGCATGGTTGTGGACTGTGGCCCTTTCAGCACTGTAATATGGCCACAAATTACAAAGTTATTTCTGTTACAGCCTTTGCCATCACAGATCATGCATGAACTATAGTAATGGTTGTGTTTCCTGACTATTGACAAAAAAAAAAAAAAAAGGTTCAGATGCATTATAAAGATTCAAATAATATGTTGAATTATTATATATACTAGTATACAGTATAATACTAGTATGATACATGTATACTATAGTTGGGATAAGCATGTGTTCTGTTCATCTTCAGGAGATTGTCAAAGGAGGCAAGAAACTTCTGTAGGTGTTCTAAATCCAGGTCTGTAGTAGGAAATATTGGCAGAAGAGGAGTGTCAAGCCTAACTTGATGATTTCTCCCTGTACTCAACACCTATTGCATATGCATATCTAATGAAGGATTCTTGCCAGTTCCATAAATGGAATAACCTATACTAACAAGAAACAAATCTAGACACGATATACCAGCAAAAGTTTAGCATGTGCTGCTTTCAAATGCTTAAGTTTCTGTTCAAGGAGAGAAATTTGCCCTGCAAATATGCAATTCATTCCACAATGTTTTCACTGTCTTAAGAAAGAAATCGTACTCACTTTCTCAGTGTATTCATAGCATAATCTTATTTGAGATTTAATATCACCAAACAACGGAAATCATCCCCTTTGACATATACCGATGGCTTTGTTATTGTTAGCATGATGAAGCCATTCCTGTGTTATTGAAATAAGTAGGATTTCTGCCACTTGCAGTAATGAAAAGAGGAGTGGCACTCGCATTTCTACTTTGGCTAAGGAATTGTTCCAAATCATAATGCAGGACTGATTTTTTAGCATGGCTTTACCTCTGTCAAAGGGGCTTTCTTCTTTATGTGGAAAAGTCATGTTGTGTGTTAATAAAATCTTGTGTATGCTGAGCTCTTGGACTCTGTGATGGGCAAGGGATAAGAAGCTTTTTCTATTAATTTAGATAAGTAATTTCTTTCCTCCAAATGCAAAGGTGAAGACCGCATTTTCTTCTCCTATTAGAACTCAGATACTGAAGTTAGTTATTTTATATTACTGAAATATCTGATCAGACTCTTCATCCCACTGGGAAAAAAAGGGTTCCCGGAGTAAAGAGCATCAAATGGCTTTCCTTGGTGTTAATACCAATATGTGAAAATTAACTTTGCTTTAATCTGTGATCTTTTAGTCATGTGGTAATTTAGGAGAGAAAGTGAGGGGAACCTAAGGGATGTAAACCTGTCTGGTCCTCTAATTTACACTGTCTGAGAAAATGGTCTGCATAATTGCAAATAGTATAACTCTTGAAGTTTACAAGGTGGAAGAGTCTCCTAGGGGAAAAAAAAAGAAGTCCAAATAAAAGGTCCAGAAGAGTTTCCTTACTGTATAAGGTTCTGTCTTTATGGTAAAATTCAATGAAACGCTGAGCAAGAGGAAACCAAGTGTTAGTATCAGATCATATCAGTGTAGTTATATTGCACCATTGTGCCAATTAATATGGACACAACATTGCAATGCCATCATGACATAGTTTCTTTACCCCATAAAGAAACCTCATATCTCTGTGGAACCTTGGTTACTTCTGCATAATACTGAGTTTTGTCAGATAGGTACATCATCACTACCTGCCAGTTCTCCTAAATTCTCTTTTTCCTAAGGATCAATCTGGATTACATTCTAACAGTTTTTTAACTTTTTTCCAACAAAAAGGCACTGTGGTCAGAAAATTATATTCCCTAAAAGAAGCAATATCAAAGGCACAACAAGCAACCTGTCCCAGTGGAAATCAAAGTATAACAAGGTCTGGTATGACAGCATCAGGAACTCTTTAATGCCATAGAAATTGAAAATAAATAATAAAAAAATGTGACTATCAATAATTATAAGGGATGGTGTGAAGAACCAAAGTCAGGATGACTACAGCATAACATGAATTAGAACTAGGAAAAGGTTTTACAAGTGCACACAAAGTAAGAGGAAAGCAAAAAGGAAGAAGAGCAAACAACAGATGACAGGAGAAGTTGCATTTTTCTTTGGTTAACAGTAGTCATCAATAAGTTAGTAGAGTTTTAACCAGAGGACAGGAGTTTAAACTATAAAAAGAAAATAATGTCTTAAAGAATATTTAGATAAATTAAGTTGCACAAATTGTTAGGAAATCATGAAATTTATCTTAAACTACTGTGAACTATCAGATTATCTTTAAGATCTCCAACAAGTGAAGAAAAGCAAATACGTATTTCCAAAAGAGAAAGGACAGCAAGAGGGAGCCAGCCTAACTTAGAATTATGCAAGGCTACTGGAATAAATAATTTAAATAATCTAATTTAAATAGAATAAATTATTTAAACCTACAGAATACTAATGTAATGGGAAGCAGTCGACATGTCTTTGTCAGGAGCAAGCCAATCTGCTTTCTGGCTTTGACAGGGTAATCATCCCAATAGACAGCATAGCAGGAGAAGACATGATATATCTTGACTTTCATGTCATTGTTGCAAGTAAACTAATAAATAGAGCTAAGAATATGCAAAAAAAATCATTCTCAAAATGAATCAGTCGTTCACTGTCCAGTCAGAACATATTTCAAATGGGATGCTCTTGGGACCCACCCTACATCTGTTTCTATGCAAATTTTTAATTAATATCTTTGATGGCAGGCTAGAGAGCGTAATGAACAATTTGTGAAGGGCTCCTATGTAGGAAAAGTTGGAATTATTTTGGAAGATGGGATTTGACGTCCAAATAATGGAGGGTTGTCTG